ATCATAATAATATTTTAAGAATTGTAAAACTCTAATAATTAGAGATATCACACTTTTAGACAAACAAACAAATTATTGTACAAAAATCATTATTAGATTGATCAGTTAATAAATTGGTATTTCATCAAACATAGGTAATATTTATAGAATTAAACATAAAAACCAATATAAATAATATACACGATATTAATTATTGTTCACAATTCAAAAAACATAGTACACATACATATTGATTTCAATATTTGTAATTGTATATATGTATAATATTTATAATTTTTTAAATGATTAAAAAATTCGTAGCCATTACACCAGGGAAAATTAATTATTTAGATTTAGAAATTCTATACTATACATTTGAACCGCTGCTACCAACCTTAAATGTTTATACCCATGCCACACGACCGCCAAGAATCACAATTGCCCCGGGAACACCCGCTCACAGTGCGAAATATGACGTTACGCTCGAAGTATAGTTTGGGATGTACTGCATATTATTCTTTGACCATTACGAAATACTCAAAATATTTGAATATCGGTGCACAATTATTTAGGTATTTATTTAATTTTTCTATCGGCATATCGGCGGGTATAATAACAACTTCCTGTATGCGCTAATAACGGTAATCACGATTGTAATTTGTAAACCTTCGGCGTCCGGTACTCCAGCGACCCGCGGACCGGGTCACACTGTTTTTCGAATACACTGCGCGTGCGGCGACAATCCACTGACGCCAAACCAAACAATAGAAACGCGCGCATTTTGTGTCGACGAGTCGATGACTGTACAACACCCGTAAAGCGCGAGAATACGACGTCCGGTATATTTAATAAATATCGAGGCTGTGCGAATAATCGTATGGTCCTTTGTCGATTGTTAAATATTCCGCCAGTAGTATCCCGATCTCCGACTACCTTGAAGCCATCTTCTGACCACGGATCGATTTTTTGACCGCTGCTTCGCACACAGATACTGGGTTCGTTCAACGACGGTGAGTGAATCACTTTTACTGTATATTTCC